TGTCGACATGATCTGATAATGTGGGCCCAAACGCGGACGCTGGAAAATTAATCAGACTTCTCAATCATGGAATTTAATGCCACGTCATCTGAAAATTCACACCATTATTTTTGTATTATTGCAAACTTGGAATTTTCAGCACGTTCACCTACTCTCATTTACATATAAAAATATATATATATATATATATATACATTTAAATTTAATATATTTTCCCCCATTCAGTTTTATTAATAAATATATATTTTTAATTACTATATAGATTTTTGCAGTTCTCACCGACACAATTTGATAGAGAAATCAATTAATTTTATAAATATCCACGAGTAAAAGACAATATATTATCTGATCGGGAAATGATGAATTATGACAAAAATAAATTAACGTAACTACGTGCATGCACGTCGTACCCTCTGCCAGATTTACAATATTTTATTAATTAAATAAGGTATAAAAGGTTGACTTGTCAGTACGCCACCGGCTGCTTTCATACATAGACTTTTCTCTTCAATATTATTATTATTTATTTATTTTGATATTAATTGATTTGATTTTTTCAAAATTTGAATTTAATAGCTCTACCATTACAGGCCATTTATTTTCTTTACTGTTTTAGAACAATAATCATGAACAATATAACTAATCCCACCACATGTAAAATTACGTAAAATTAATATCATGGATATTTATCACTTTTCATTTTTTGTTTTTTTTTTTGTTTTTATACTGTAACGATTTGAAAATTTTCAGTACCATAAGTTACGGTTGGTATGCGATAATGGTCTTAAATTTTGGTAACGACCGTACAAAATCGACCACCATTAATCAAGACGCATGCAGACAAATTTAGTTGAAGATGAGGGTTCATTGCATTTGGCAATCTTATATTTACAAAAAATCTTATATATATTATTATTTTTTTTAATTATTTTGCAAACTACCCTAAAACTCATCATTTAGTACGTTTTGTGCTAAAAAAAGTGAATTATAGATGTATTTGGGCTAATATTATTAATACATGGGTTTTTTTAGCAATTCGAAAAATGTAGAATAAATTTTTATTTACATTTCACTCCTGATAATAACTACAAATTGTATTAGATTCTACATACTAATACATTTTAATTTCTTGTGTGTCAAGGATCTAATTTACTAGTATGTGAGTAACTTTTCATTGGGCAATAAATAAAAGAAAAAAAGTTAAATTCATGATATTAATTAAATTTCTGTAAATCTACATTGTGGGGTTAATTGTTCGTAATAATAGGCTCTAATAGTCAAGAAAAAATATTAAATAAAAATGGTCATTTTCATTTTTTAGATAAGATTTTTTTAAATAGAAATTACAAAAATTATGTATATGCATATGACATAGACTAATCCACCGTAGTAGGTTCCACGTACTTGACTATAAGTTGTAGTAATTAAATTAAAATAAAATGACTGATTGGGACATTTAATTTAAATATTTATATATATACCAAGAACAAGAAAATTACATAAATCATCATCAACTGATTGAATATAATGCTGAAAGAATGAAAAGGACTGGAAAACGTTTCACCACGTCTACTAACATTGTGTTATATTTTTATTATTTATAAAATATACCCCTATATTTGTATTATTTACACATTTCACCATATTCATACTCAATTATGAAGATTTACACAGTTGGTTCAGATATAATGGTGCAAGATAACGCGCACAAGCCAAAGTTGATTTTTTTTTTTATCCGGAATATAATTATATCATTAATTAGTCAAATGAAAAAATGAGTTGTTCCAAACATGTATTGCCAGCCAATCAAGGGTTAGATAATTGTAATTATTAAATTTGAGAAAAAGATTTAACCCATGATCAATAATGCACAAACTGAAGCTATAAAAAGAGGACGGAGAGTTGGCTAAATAGGACAAGCATAAACGCAAACGACCGACAGGATACACAGCAGGTTTCGGGCGATGCAGCTGCAGTGCCGTCTGAAAAAAATCTTTGAGCCATCTCATATAAACTAACCTCATCAAACAGAACCCTATACGCATTCAAGTCATGATAGAGTGGGCGACCTTCCCTGGTGCATATCCAGCGCTCAGCTATATAAAAGCAATCTTAAACGCATGCCCACTCGGGGGTCTGATTCTCCCCTGCAGAAAGTTGAGAACAAGAGTGAGTATTAATGAATAATATCGTAAATTTAACACGTAAAGGTTTGCATGTGAATGCATCAATTACTGTGAAGTGTGAAGTGCAAATGACATGAGTTGACACACATATTTGAACATGCATCAGTTTCCAAGGTCAAGCGCGCACCCGTATCCATCATTTATCTTGAAAATTATTACAATCCCAACTTGGACATCAATCACATCTAAAAGCTTACCCAATGAAAAAAATCTCAAAAAGTTCCACAAACACCTCACAGTTTATGCACTCTCCGTTTAGTGCTCCCGCTGTGAAAATTTCGTGACTCGCAAGCTTATAATCTATTTAAATAAGGATCATATCTTGTGCACTAACAATTAATGAAATAATGCCAAAAAAACACACAAATGAATCACAAATTAGGGTAATTTGATATTTTAACAGCGCAACAATGAAGAAAAAATCTCAAAATATAAAGGAAATTGCGCTAACACCTCACAGTTTAGGCACTCGTCACTCACTGATTCCGCTAACACCTCACAATTTTGCGAGTCACGAGCTTTTAATCTAATTAAATAAGGATTATATCTTGTGCACTAACAATTAATGATATGATTAATGTCAAACAAAACACAAATGAATCACAAATTTATGGCAATTTGATATTTTAACAACACAACATACAATGAAATAGATGCTTAGCGAGCGTCTCGTTAGGCATAAATTCAGCAACGAGCAGCCTCTCATCCCCGTCGCAGCAATACCCAATCAGATTAGCCAGCCTCTTATGCCGCAGCTTCCCCACTTCCTTGGCTTCCTCCTACAAAATAATTAACCAATTATGCAAACCTAAATCCATTTTTTTCCACCACAGAAAATAAAAGGATTAAATCTAAAAAAAAAAATTATGTGTGCGTGTATATATATATATATATATATATATATATATATATATATATATATATATATATATATATAACATATATACATACAGCAAACTGTTTAGGATCGGGCCAGGCCATTTTGGTAAATTTCTTGACGGCGATTCCGCGGTGGTTCTGCAAGCGGCCTTCGTAGACGACATTTGGTGCTTTCTCGCCGCTCTCGGAGACGATGTTCTCGGAGCTGAAGTTGTTGGTGGCGGCCCTCAGCTCCGCCAGAGAGAACTCCGCGAATCCGCCGGACGAGGCTCCGTTGACGGAGGACGAGCGGCGGTGGCCGTGCTGCTGCTGCTGCTGCCACTGATCCTTCTCCGACGAGCGCCGCCGATGCTCCTTCGACACCCAGCACCCCATGGTAACTCGACCGAGTTGACTCACCACACCTCTTCTCCCCACACACAGTGCACACACACACACACAGCGAATTTTCACAAATTTACTCCTACACCGCCGATTGAATGAATACTATATACTACTGCTATATAAAATCTTCAAAACTCCAAATCACAATCATATGTTTGATTATTGAACCATATTCCCCCAATATTTTACAGTATTTAATTGCAGTAATTTATTAAATCAGGTGTACAAAAAAATTAAAAATAATCTAATAGTAAATTAATAATACGTTCGTGCGGATTACAAAACTAAAAACTCAAAAAGCATCTTAGGAAAGAAGAGAAATTTTTTCGGTGAAAGTGAAACCTGGGACTTTGTGCTTTTCCATTACTGCTCACACAGTATTCCTTTTATTTTTTATTTTTTATTTATTTTTATTATCAGTATTTGTATTTTGCGAGTCAGCTTTCCATTTCTATTTTTCTTTTCTTTTCTTTTCATTTTCTAAATGAAAAAATGTAGTCATATTAGTATATTACAGTTGAAATCTATATATCGGCCATGGTATAAAATTTATGAAGTAAAAATTTGTCAACCATTATTAATACACAAATTGAGAATTAGTAATGATTAACATCACAATTTCGCTTTAATCGGATTTTATTTGTAAGCAAAAGAAATTATTAAGAATGAATTAATGGATTTGGTCAAGTACAAGTTATTAATTATTTGATGCTCATCTGTTTTAATGGAGCCTCCACTCTCTGGTTTTTTTAATTAAAAAAGAAAATGCACCTGTGGATCTAAGTGGCGTTGTGTTGGCTTGAACGAGCCAAACTTTGATGTTTTGACAGATTCGAGCTCGAGTCCATTTTGTCGAGTTCAAGTTCATCGAACATATATTTTTTTGCTTGAGTTGGAGTCCAAATTTAGTTTGATTTTTTTTTATTATAATTACAAAATTATTCATATAATAATAAAAAAAGTTTTAAATAAATAATGAAATGTGATTATATTTAAAAAAAATTATGATCTTTGTATGTTATTATTATTATATTTTATATTGCTATATACTATCTAAATAAAAGTAATATATAAAAAATAAAAAAATATATATATAAAAAGAAGGCTCACGAAGAACTATGAAAAGGATCGAGCTTGACTCGTGATAGAGCTTGAGCTCGAATTCGAGTTTATATTTTTTTCGAGCCGGTTCATTGGGCTCATGAGTGATGAGTCGTGTGAGTCTCACCTGGTTTACACCCTTAGTTAAAAAAAAGTTTACACCCTTAGGGCCTCTTTGGTTTGCAATATTAGGCCTGATGGGATGAATAATACAATCATCAATTTCATGCATTTTCTTCGACGCAATTTTCATCTCTTCCTCTGTTTTCTTCTTCAAATTCTCCAAATTTACCGACTGAAATTCTCTAATGCCCGCTTCGAATTTCAGATTCTTCGATTTCTTCCCAAAACCCAGCCCCATGCACGACGGCTTTCTGAACGCCGGCGAATTCGAGATGCCGCCGAAGAGCAGAGCCGAGACCGACACCGTCACGTTGAGCACATCGTTAATGATATCGACGAGCTCCGCCTCGTCGTCGTACGGTGCTCCGGCGGCGGCGGCCAATTTCCCGACGGAGACGAAATTCGAGCAGAGTTTACCGATTTCCTTGGCGATTTTGCTCAGATTCTTCGAGTGCGCGGCTACTTTCAGATCGTCCTTTCTCCTGACGGCAATTTGCGACGCCGAGTACTCCTCCTTGAGCCGCAACACCAACGTCTGGAACATTCCGTACACGTCGACGAATCGGAGGAAGTCTTCGAGAAGCTTCTCGATCAGGTCCGAGCAACCTCCGGCGCCGCGGCGGAGAGATTCGCGTGTTTGCGGGAGGTGGAGCAGATCGTCGAGCGATTCGTGGACGGCTTTGAGTCGGCGCAAGCCGTCGCAGAGCCAAGCCGAAGTGCGGGAGCCGGATTCCGCGGCTGACCAGGAGTTGGTAAGCTCGGAGATTCCGTCACGGAGCTGGGAAATTATCGGGTGTGATCGGCAGGGAAGACTGGTAGATCTGACGTGGAGCGTTTTCCGTGGCTTAGATGAAATGTACGACGGAGGATTCGTGAAGGAAACCGATCTCCGAAAACTAGTCACCATTTTGTGTGCCATTTTTGTTTTGTTTTATACAGATAATTGGGGATTTTTTATTTGTTGAGTGAATGAAGAAATGGAATTGAGGGAGCAAGTATATATATAGGGGGGCGGGGTGGGGGGCGGCGTAAAGTAGTTGAGGATGCGCACGAGGGGGTGGGGACTGGATCCGCGAATAAATACAGAGTGTTGGATGTGAGAAGGCATGTGGAGTTTTAATGCTGTGGACACAGGTGTTCCTGTTATGGTGGAGCCTAGACACCACGTGTGCTTGACAATCTGGCTTCATTAATATTGTGTTGCTTCAACTCTTTTATTTTTGTTTTTTCTATGTCGATCAGAGCTTCAATTCGAGCTTATTATTTAGATTCAGAGTAAATTACGGTCAATCCCTGATGTATGGCCAAATTACGAAAAAAAACATCTTGTTTGGGTAATTACAGTCACACCTCATTTTAAATACTTTTACATAAAATTTATGTAATTTGGTTATTTACCGAACCAAATCGTATATTCAGTTCGGTAAACGGTATGAAATGTTGACGTACTGAAATTTTGGTTCGATTTTACCGATTTAACATCCCTAAATTTACCTCTGAAGGGGTATTTTCGGAAGATAATACATAGTTGAGGGGGTGACTGTAATTACCCAAACATGATGGAGGTTTTTGTAATTTACTCTAATTCAGGGGTGTCCGTAATATGCCATGTAAATTAATTTTATTTAAGTTTTACTATAAATAATGACAAACTTAATTAGCTCAAATGTCAAGGCTTGGTTTAATTTCATAATTTGCGTTCCTGCTTTGGTAAGGGAGAGAGAGGAGAAAAGGATTGGTAGTCGTGCAATGTTAATGTATCAAGTAACTCTGTTATTAGTACTTAGTTATAATTATTTGCAGGAAAAAAAGATTTTCTTTATTTTTATAATTGATACGATACAATGAAAAGATTTGCAAGATCGGTTTTTTAATTTTTTTGACAAGTGAACTGAATTTACAAATACTAACGTACGGGCAAGTAGCAATTTAATGCAACAATGTATAAAAGGACACTGGCTAAATTTCTACTCTCGTTAAAAATCATACGAACTAGAGACCTAAACAAAACTATGCTAATAATATGTGACAAATAACACATTCAACGTAACAATATGTAATAGGTAAAATATAAATTTAGTTATGCACATTTATTTAAAAGAATCGAATTGCCCAAAAAATTGTAAGTATAATAATACATAACGGCCCTATCTAATTAATTTAGTTGAACCATGAAATCTACACAAGATTTAACAACTACCATAATAACTCCCAATGCTGTACCTAATTCATTGATTTTGGACTATATGAAAATACAATTATAGAGATGCATTGAAACTTGACATATTTTAATTCACAAAAACAAAAAAAAAAAAAAAAAAAAAAATTCTATAGGTGTAATATAAATTAAAAAAAATCCTATATAATTATTTAATATTTAGAGTTTCACACACAAAAAACTGATGCTAGGCTGAAAGGATATGACGACCCTTCATTACTGCAGTAGGCTGTGTGTATGATGGCTATGCCATCTAATTGATGATTAAAAATTAAATTAAATACAAGTAATCTGTAATTAATGAAGCGTTTTACCAGCTGTTTCAGAATTAATTATATATACGCGCAAGTTTTGATTTAATTTGGATTAAAATTAATCTCTCATTGGATAATTAATTTAATTATCTCAAATCTGAACCTTAACATGTTTGTTGTGTAGCCAAACACGACAGATAAGCTCCCCATAACTTGTCTCTCAATTCATTTCATCTTCCATTTTTATTTTTTTCCTTCAAAAGAAAAGAGAAAAGAAAATGGGGTGGATTATATTCGAGTCGAATTTAAAAAGAAAAAAATCGGCTGATGGCATCCCTATTTTTAGGTTGTTTAAGAATTAAGAAATGTTTTTTTTTAATATAAAATAATTAATTAAGAAATGTTTAATTGAGCTGGATTATTTTGTTCTAAATTTTGTAACTAACTAACCTATGGATTATTGGGTCATATTTAACTATTGTTGTGGTTAAATAATCACTCACTAAGCGCACATACACATTAGTGTGTAATTATATGAATATCAGCGATTAGTAATTAATTCGTGTGTTTCACTGAATGTAACATCAAATAAAGCCTAGCCGACTTGCCTAAACTTGTTTAATTGATTATTTTGTTGGTTACATTGAACATAATTGTTTCAATGGATGGATAAGCTAGTGTAACAAATCATTGTTGTAAATGAGTCATCACACGTTGATATAGTTGCTAATTAAGATGATGATTATTGTGGTAGGTATAAATAATTATTATCTTGGTGCTTGTTTAAGAAGATGCTTCACGTTTTTCTAATTACTAAAAACTAATAATTCTTTTAGATGGACACCAAATTGATACTACTCATGCATGTTTTGGGTCATTTCGTACATTTGCATGATAAAAAGTGTAATGATTTAATTATATATAGTTTTGAAATATATATGTTCAAAGAACTTAGCATACTTTAATTTGTAGGGTATATACTGCCGACATTTTTTCACCAAACGAAGAAGCTTTTTAATAATGGAAGACTTATGCATGAAAGATTAATAATAATAATAATAAGTTTTGATTGAGGTTGTATGTACTTGATACTTTTGTATTTGTAAGGTTTTTGTGATGTTGAGAATATTAGAATTTTAATTAAACTGTTTCAATAATTGTTTCGCACTAGTCAACAAGAAAACTCGTAAAATAAGTACTGACGATACAATATTTGTACCCTCGGAGGCCGGAGAGCTCACCTATCACTGTATTTACGACCAACAGAGATGAACAAGACGGTGGAAGAATCACCAGATAGAAAGAGAGAATTAAATTCGATCGAAAGAAAGTATTGAGTGTTTATTGGTTGTATGTCAATGTAACCCTAATAGTGTTTGATATATTAATGTATATAGATAAAGGGTAAATTACAAACACCCTGAGGTATGGTCAATTTACAAAAAAAACATTTTTGTTGGATAATTACATGTATCTCCTTAGCTATGATTTTTTCTTACGCCTCCACCCTTATGGTGTCAAATTCAACATAATCATCTAGATTCCGTGCAATGTGCTCTAGTTTGTACTCGTTTTATGTAAAAATAGAGTTTCTGATGCACCACAATCTGATATATATACAAGCCAAAAAACACATATTATGATCATCCTGCTTCAAAATGTAAAGTTCGAATGGGATAAAACGGGTACAAAAGTGATAATATTCCATATAATCTCGAAGATTCCACTAAATTTGAGGAGTTGAAGGGGTGGTTGTAATTATCCAGACAAGGGGGATACTCGTAATTTGACCATACCTCAGGGGTGGTTGTAATTTACCCTATAAATAAATAATTATCTATGGCTATTTCCTAGCTTAAAGCTTCTATATCCGTCCGAGATTTACATTGATCGTTCAATTATTCGTTCTAATTTAAATGTTTTTCCTATCTTTTTATGGAAGTTATCTCTAGACCACGTCCAAATTTCGCTGATTAAATCAAATAAAATCCACCCAACATCTCTTCCACTAGCTAGAACCATAAAAAATTTCAATCTATTGACACATTTCGAACTCAATTAATGATTTTTCAGAGTCAATTCCAAAATATAAACTCTAATTGAAATTTTGAATTCAACACCACATTATGCAATTAAAACATATGGGCCTTAAATTAAGCTGAGCATCAAGGGTATATTGGGCCTCAATTTAATTACTGACTAGCCAGATTTATGTAAAAAACTTGTAGGTCGGCCCAAATACAGACCACTTTAAATCATTATTTTTATTTAGTGAAAAATCAGAAAACTCGAATTGACACGTGTCGTGTTTGAAGGACACCGTAATTGGCGTGGCACGACAAATTTCTTGCCACATTTTGTCCTGAAAACGTGTCACCGAAACTACACAAAAGTAAGTACAATAGGAAGCGAAGAAATGGTCAAAAATTATATCAACTCAATTGAAAAATGGAGAAAGATAATAATAATAATAATAATAAAAAACAAGAAACAGAGGACGCCGGTGGCCAAAAGCACCAGCCGCCGTATATATCGGCGATGCAACCGGTCACCAAGGAGGCGTACGGCGGCGGAATGTACGGTACGGAGGAGGGAGAGGCAAAACAGCCGGCCGGGAAGTTGCCGGCCAGCGCAACCCAGAGTGCAGATGGGCCGGATGAAGCCACCGCCGAGCCCAAGCATAAGCCGCCGCCCTCCACCGGTGATCGTGACCTGGATATTACCGGCCAATCTTACATTCAGTAGTTTATATATATTTTGATCTCCTTGGGCAGTGAATATAATCTATGTACAGTGTCTATGATAGAGATTCCATGTTTGTTTGTGTTTTCTGTTTCATTGGATTTCTGTGTAGATTTATTTTATTGCCTCTGTACAGTGTAGATTGTTCTATTTGCTCATGAGAAGATTTTTATTTATGAATTATATATTTTGAGAATTAGGATTGTGTTTTGTAGAAGTATTTGCAAAATGGGTAAATTACGGCAACACTCCCAAGGGAAGATCAATTTACCAAAAATTATTTATGTTTGGATAGTTCATAGTTGCACCTATCCCTCAAGTACAAATCTGTTTACACATTCACTCTTGCTTACACGTTTGGTCTTACGATGTTAAATTTAGTGAAATCTTTTGGGCATGTAGAATATTTTTTCTTTTGTATCCGTTTTAATCCATTGGAGGCATACATATTAAGACTTTTGTTTAAGACTTACAAGATAAGATGATCATAAGACTTTTTTCATCTTATAAATATCAAATTGTGGTGCATCATGGTGCATCAAAAAACTGTAAGACAAATATGAACTAATGTAACAGGAGGACATTTTTCACCTTATAAATATCAAATTAACTGAATATTTTATGGAATCGAGAAGATTTTCGTTAAGGGGTGGTTGTAATTATCCAAACATGAACGAAATTTTTTGTATTTGTTCTTAGTTGTGAGTGGCCGTAATCTAGCCTCTAGCCTCATAAAATTAGTAACTTGTTAATTTGTGATTTTGCGACCACAAGAGATATATATGCACCAAGAGGAGTAAAATTTTTTTTTTATTATATATCAACGAAATGCAGTAAAATTGGTTAGATATCAGTCAATTATCAATTATACCGACGTATATTGAAAAATGCTGTGATTCTATAGTGGGGGTTAAAAACGGAAAAACAAATTTACACGGTTTTCAAGCCCAGTCTGCAAATCTCAGCTGACGTGGGCCCATCCCATTGGGCCGTCTTCTTCTTCATTTCCTCAAACCCATCCACACACCGGCCCATATCCAAGGCCCGTATTCTCTTTCTAGCAGCTGCCAGATTTTCTCCCGCCACGTCATCAAACAACTCCTCCCACCCACTCTCCCACGCGCCGCGCGCGTCACAAAGATCCAACGTGTCATTCCGCCACTCTGTCCAGCTCCATCCTTTATTCAGCCCACTCATAATGGGCCCCACACAGGTCTCACTACAAGCCGGCCTACACGGCCGGCACTTGGCGCCGCTAAGCGGGCCCATGCTCGAGATCGCAGCCACGGGCACACCGAAACGGGCGGGCGGAAAATCGTACTTCCGATCCGTCACTATACAAAACGGGAGCCGCTTCGCGGCGAACACGACCCCTTGGGTCGTAAGTTGGGCCTTGAAAGCGGTCTCCGAGTTCAACTGGGTCAACCCGGCCGAGTCGAGCTGGGGAATCAACGAAAGCCTCGAGAGCGCCACCACCGAGGTGTTGTAGTCCCCTACGCCGAAACGGTCGTTCAGCCCACCGTAAGACGAACCTGGTGGAACCAAATACCGACCCGGTACGAAGTTCTCGGGTCCTAACGGTTCGGACCAGTACCCGTCAACTCTCGTCCGGATTATCCAATCATATGTGAAGTTGTTCTTTTCTTGATATGCTTTGATCATGGTTAGGCATCCCTCCACCAGATTGAAATACTGCAACAAGCCCTACAAAAGAGAAATTCGGGTTGGTGAGATGAAATGACCATTTTACCCCTACCATGCATCTAATTTCAAGAATATGATAATTATGCACATGGGAGGAGACATTGATCATTAGGTGGGGTTTTATATATAAAATATTCTGACAAATGTCCCAAAGTAAATAATTTTTAATTGATCTCAGAATCATGTAAGAATTCTAATTCCCATATAAATAAATGCCTAAATGGAATGTTTTTTTTTGGGTGGATTTGAAAAGTCAATGAAGTCAAGAAAGCATTGACTTTTAAGATGGAGCAACAATACTTATCAAAAAAAAAAAAAAAAAAGATGGAGCAACAATGAAGATCTTAGCTGCAAAATTGCCAACTAGCTGGTCCATTAGTTTGATGAATAATAATATTTCTAACCTAAATTTCACCTAAATTGGGAGAACACTAATTGATGAAAATGACCTAACCATGGTTTGATGTACTAACCCCATCTATACATAATACAAAACGAGAAACGCAGACCGACCTCACAGCAAATGCAAATGCTATTTACAATGACCAAACAGAAAGTCTCGAGACGAATTTCATGAACCACCTAAACATCAAACATGCATATGTCGCGCATTTAGTTTTTCCTAGGTAAAGAATTGCATGTTGCAACGAAAACCTCAGCAAATGTTATACGGTATTGTAAACAGAAACCTCACGATGCAAAGTTTCGAATTATAAGAGATCGTGGGACCTAATCTGACTAACCTCGATTAAAAAAAAACCCTTATTTAGAAAATTTGATTATTCAACAAAGAGAAACTTCAAATCAAGAATGTCGTCCATTTTCTTCGAAACGTCAATTACATTGTGTATTAATTAGTCAACACGAAAATCTGATCCAAACGAATCAAGTAATGAAATCAAAGCACAAAAATCAAACAACCCTTACAATTAATGAAAATTCAAAGACGACAACCGAAATTAGACGGCTTTAAAACACCTATTAAAGATTCAATTTTTAAATGAACAACGCGTACGGGACTAAAAGTCGGAGATTGTAGGAAACAATACCAACAAATTTGGCAGAAAGTAGCTATAAACCGATAGAAGCTTTCGTCCAAATTTGGGGTGGACGGATACAACAAAACTCACCAATCTAATAAGCTAACATTTCACTTCCACCCAATACCAAATTTTCCGAAAAAAGAAAATTATTAAATACAACTAAACAACAATTCACCCCCAACTGAAAAACCAGCAATCAATAATTGCAATATGCAATATCCAAATTAACCATTTAATTCTGGTAAAAAACTGCGATTAACGACTTTTTAAGCAACAATTAAAAACTTGCTAAATTAATAAAATTTCGAATAATTACGTGGGTTAGTTAGTTACCTGTATACCGTTGGGCGAGTTTTGGGCGGTGAGAACTCGGACCTGTGACTCGGTCTCCGGTATGGGGATGGGTTTGAATATCTTTACGGCCGCAATTTTCGGGGCGTCGTTCAGCAGTAGAAACTTGTAGGAGTTGGTGTCCAACGGGCTATGGAGGAAAAGATCCGAATTTTCGTAAACCCGAAGGACCCTTTCCAAAATGGAGGGTCCGGTGAGCTCGAACCTCCGGGCCCCGCCCACCAAACAAACCGCAATTCTCGACCCGTTTAGGGGGTTCGCGGGTCTGCTCTCGGGTCGGTTACTGGGGGCTTCGGCGGCGTGGCCGGAGAATATGGATTTGAGAGGGGGGAAACTTGGGAAGGAGACGAATGCGGCGGCGGAGGAGGCGGAGGAGGAGGAGGAGGAGAGAGAAACGTAGGTTAGAAAGGTGACGGAGATTAGGATGAGGGTTAGGATCCGCCAGTCGAGATCCAGGGCCCGTTTTGGGAATTGGGTCAGGATCTTTGCCGGGTTTTTCATTCTTGCATTTACCCAAAAAAAAAAAAAAAATTAAAAATGTAATCTTTGATTACAGTTTATATATCATCTTCTCTCTTGGGTTTTGTACCCATGGTTTCTTCTCCCCCACGAACAGCAGAGATACGTGGAGAGAGATTAAAATCAACGAATGGCGTTTTCTGCGTGTAGTTATGCGTGTAGAGAGAGAGAGAGAGAGAGAGAGAGAGAGATCCAAGAGGGTGAGTACAAAACTACGATTTTTCCAAAGGGATGTTGAAATTTGGAAGGTTTCTTGAATTGTTAATTATTTATTTTTTGTTATTCTGGTTATGGTTTTATGCTGAATGGTTGGGTAGTTGAAAGTTTTTGATTTTAGGGTAATTGTGATTTGGAGGGGGGGTTTCGACGATGGTGGTGGTGGTGTGTGTGTGTGTGTGTGTTTTTTGGTGTCCGAAAAAGGGGTGTGAAAGTATTATTTGAGGAAGGAATAGTAGGCTTTTAGTTTGAATTATTCTTTTAGCTGCATGTAATTAATTCCAAATAGGGCACTCAAAATAAGAAGAATAGAGATTTTGGGTATATTTTCGTAATTTTGCTTCGCTTTTTTGGGTTTAATAAAGAGAATATGAAATGTGAGATATATATAACATTATTATATACTGATAGAGAGAGAGAGAGAGAGAGAGAGAGAGAAAAGATGATGAAGGTGTGGAAGTGGGAAGTGTGGAGGAAAGTGACGTGGGCTGACATTTCTTCATTTTCAGTTATTACTTCTTTTGATGAATCCAAGAAAAGTTTGTAATATTGTTGAAATTCCAATGGAGATTCTGAAAATTAAGCTTGATTTCATTTTTAAACTCGAGATTTTGTCAATATTTATTTATTTTTAATTCATTTTTTCATTTTCTTTTTCAATAATGGGGGTTATATTTTAGATAATCTTGGATGTATGCGGGTATGGAAAGTGGTTAAGTGGATTAATTGGATGTTATGATGGTGCGCTAATCAAGTGGTCGATAGCGTATGATTGAGACAAAAATTAAAGTTTAAGGGACTTGAGATTCAAATTTAAAAAAAAAAAAAAATCAAATGGGCAATTAATCTCTACTAGCTAAATCATAGGAGATTCAAATTGAATATCATATGTACAGTTAATTTATAAATAGTGACTACAATAAAAAAGCTTGAAATTATTAATTTTTTTTAGCAGGAATTGAATTATTGTTAACCTCTGCATAGTTAGTTTAATTAAATCAAATCAATATAAAATATACAAATAATTTCGTGTACAAACGCATAAACAAATTTATTAACCAATTTTCATGATATGATAGAAATAAAATGTAGGAGTTGATAATGGAAGAAGAATAATGGAATAGGCAGTAATGGAAATCGAGAAGAATTATTAATTATGGAGGATTAAGATTTGAAAGCAAATGGGCCCTCAGATTAATTAATCTAATAATTATTCATTCCCTTCTTTTATTATTACTAGATTTTTGGCCCGTGCGATGCACGGGATTGAAGCAAAAATAATACAAAGTAAAGTTCAATTTAAAGGACAAAATACAATTCATTTTGATATTTTGTTATATATATTGATGATAATCCCCATTCATAAACATTTTTTTGCCATATTTATTAATTTAACTTTATATTTTTGATGTAATATGCTTGTATATTTATCTTATCGTAGTTATTGTTGAAGTTTGACGAATCTTCTTCTTTATCACCCATAGGCCATAACATGCCTCAGTAAATTTACTGTAAATCAATGATGCCAAGCATCATACTTTTGAATAGGTTCGAATGAAAAAACAACAAAACCAAAATAAGATTTTAGACAACATATCGAACATTTCAACATTAATCGATAATAGAATACATATCAACACACATAAATGTAATAATCAATTACTGAAAATCTAAAAAAAGGGAAGGAAAATGAGTAAAACAACCAAGAACTGCCGATGTTGAAAAATAAAATTGCGAAGACAGTCAAAGGTTTTGTCCGGAATAATTTCGTGGATGTAGGATGTCCTCAGAATCATGTTTGATATTTCTGATAAAGAACACAAAAAAATATTAAAAAAAGAAAAACGAATCTAACGTTGAAAGAATCACATATATGAATCATATATATATAGAAAGAGGCTATGTCCATTAAATTCATAGATACCGAAGTGACTTAAACAAACTTACTTCTTGACTAATAGAGTTAATTTTTGCAAAAAGAAAGATACCTACAAAGAAGTGAGAAAACGATAGAAATAACGGTTTAAGCAAGAGATGGGAGAGGCTGGTGTACAGAGAAGTGGGAAAAAGATATGTATCGTATCTTACACAATTCCAGCTCAGTATTCTACTTGGTATTAATATTGCTTATATTTTCATAATATTCTTTGTAATATTTATTTTTGAAATTTTAATAATATTTTGCATATCAAATTGAATCAGGGGAGAAGGGAAGGAGAGAAGTCACAGCAAAAGAATTTGAATAATTAATTGATTTAATTATATTAAATTAAATGACACAAAATAGGGAAAATTAATTTAGAATTATGCCAATATTTAGGAGATTAGTTAAATAATTAGTAGAAATTAATATTTAATTAATTACGTGTTTAATTATTAGATTATATGAAGTTTAATAATATATGAAAAAATAAATTGGATTGATATCCTCCAAATGAGCGGGAAAAATTAACCTTAGGGTTTTCTAGGGTTTCTCTAGGAACCTTTCTTTTGTTAATAATACTAGTAACCATGCCCGTGCGTTGCACGGGACGCATTCAACAAAAGGTAAAAAAATAATTGTTTAAATAAATGATAGTACAAATTGTAATAAAAAATCTATCAATTAATATTGAAATATATATATAAAATTCAAATTACACTACTATTATCTTATTTTATTGTAGCACACATTTTTCATCCTAAATCGGTATATATATATATAGACACACACACACCAAGTGTCAATATATAAAATATATGTCAAATAATAAAGAATACAAATTCAATAAAGAGGACGACAATTTTAAATACCAATTGTTTCTTATTTCAATACTGCCTAAATAATAAATATGTAATGACA